TTAACTTTAAAGTGCTTCCGTTGTATTTTAAGCCAATGCCTAATTACTAATGTTCAGTTAAAAGATCTCAAACTTCCGCTTTGTTGACCCTAACCTCTATCTGTTTTTTACTTCCGTAACAAAACAATTTAATGATTTGAAAAATAGTAACTTAGGCCAGAAAAGAAAGTTTCGTAGTAAAAATAGTCCCGACTAAGTTACTCGTTCCCTCGGTTGATTGACTTTACATACCGGTATAAGATTTCTAGCTTGACATAATATTAAACCAAATCGCAGAATAATTTAAAGGACAAACACAAATAAACATAATTATATTAATTAATAATCAATAAGAATTTGTAAACATAAACCTGGTAATAACTTTGAAGACAGAAGCACTCCTGCACAAATTGTAGGCTTTGCTTCGATCGGAGAATATATTTAACCGTACAGAAGAAAATAATGCTAAAAGAATAGTGCTGGAAAGAAATAAATGGGAAAAGAAAATAATGCTGAAAAGAAATAATGCTGAAAATAATATTCTGCTGAAAATAATATCTGCTAAATAAAATCTCTAAACTTTCTCGCCAAAAAGAAGAACCATTTCTATTGTGGTCTCAGGCTCTATTTATAGTGCTTGCTTGATTCGTTGCTCTCGAAAATGTAGGAACAATTCACTTTTCTTCCTTGAGAAATAATAGGCCATTTAATTGTCACGTTCATTGCTCTCTTGACTGAGTGGATGAGAGAATGTAGGAACTCGTTGGATTAACCCTTGAACGTGTTTCTGTCCGTTGGATGAGGAGAAAGTGGGGTGATAGGATGTGACGTTCGTCACACGCAAGTGACTATCGTCACTTGGTCTTCATGGAGCGTGATGTTCGTCACGTCCCCTTGACGGTCGTCAGGGCTTGATTGCTTGTGCGCCACGTGCTCACATGTGTAATGGGCTTTTGGGCCGGTTTCTTCTCCTTAGGCTCTTTTACTACTTTTTGCACCTTTTTTTCTTCATTTCTTCAAAAGTGTTCGGCTCAGTGCATATCTGCAAAAATAGAAAAATACCTGCATAATACTTATAAAATAATTTAATTCAAACTAAAGTATGAGAAATATTTGGTGTATATCAAGCCAAAAATATCACATATTTGTGTGTCATCAGTCGCAAGGGTGGGCATCTTCTTAGTAACTTGAAGTGACTTAGTGCAGAAAACGAAGCGAGATAACCACAAAGTTAGGAAAGCTATGTGTTCCACTTCAGAGACAGTCCTACTAGACTTGTCGTGAAAGTGGTTGATGAATATGGTGTATATGGGTTTCATGGCTGAAAACCTGATAGCATCTTCAGATAAATCTTCAGGGTCGAAATAGTCACCAGTTGGTCGAAGATCAATAATGGTTGTTATGTCGAAAAGAGTTGGGGTCACCATTCCACAGGGTAAATGGAAGGTGAAATGTGTACTATACCAGAAATACAGTGAAGATACTAACATGAGAGGGCAATAAGATAACCCAGTCTTCGACAGCATGACCAAGTCATAAATCCCCATATCCTTCCAGATTTGGGCCTGCACTTTTTCCATCTTACTCATCCATTCTAAATACTCTGAAGTAAGACTAGGGCAAGATCGAAAGATCATGTTCCCCTTGTTCATAAACTTAAGGTTGATATCTTCCTTCGTTTGAGAGTGTTGTTGGTTAATAGGGGTTGCATCCTCAGGGTCATTCCTGGGTTTCTTCTCGCAACCTATAGGCTTGACCCTAGGGTGAGTTAGGAAGAAGGTATTATTTTGTTTTGGGTTCTCGAAGCATTCAGACAGTGGGCCAGACATGGCATACATGTGCCCAGAATACTTAATTGGAATGAGTAACTGAGAGTCATAAGCTTCACGCCATTCTCTGGTCATGGATTCAGAAACAACCCTTTGCTCCAGTCGAAACAGGAACATGACTAGTGGAAAAGATCTCTGGTTGTCGTTGTAAGTCAGAAATGTTCTTAGTTTTGGGATTGTTTGGTGCGTTTGAAAGGAAAGCCATGGTTGAAGGTAGTGAAAGAACGAAGAAGATGAAGTTCTTAATAATTTTCTTTGCAAGGAAATAAGGAATATTAGGAGATGTAAAAAATTCCAAAGAAAAGGATTTGTGGCTATTTATAGTGTTCAGGGAAGAGAGTTTTTCCTCAAGACCATTTAATGCTACAGAGTTAGTGGGGCACGTGGCGAATGTTGAGGCAGTTATCATACAGGTAATGGAAACGTTTGTCATACTTTCCTAGGTTGTAGGGATAATGGCCATCATGGCAGCGTAGTAATGGCTGATTGATAGCGACGTATTAGGAAAAAGGTAATGACGACTCTGAATACCAGCAGTAGTTGGTAGAAGGCGAAAAGCGCACAATTAACTTCTGTGGCCCAAAAAGAAGACATGTGTCGAATGGGAATCTCAAAGAATGATCATTTCTTCTTGCGTTGAAATTGATATTCTTGGGGGGAAATTTGTTAGCTCCTAAATTTGACACCCACAATAAATTAGCCTTATGGTCCAAAAATAGATTGAACAAATCTAAGCTGGAAATACTTTGACTGATTGGAAAATACTTAGAGAAATTTGTGAGTTAAAGTTAATCTTCGACCAGAAGGTTCTTGCGGCCTTCGACTGAAAGGGCTCCAGGGCCCTCGACTAAAAGGAAACCTCGTATCAACAACAAGTGATTTTGAATCTGAAGAAAGGAGGGAAAAGCAGTTCGCTTGGTAGATGAGGAAAGTAACGTGGCATGAAGATAGAGGTCGAAGCATATACAGAAGACATTTGTCCTCATCCTAGAGAAATGCAACTCCTCGATGGTTACCTAGTTCTAGTATAAATATAGGAAGTTTATGTAGATTTTCGTGTGTTCAACTAACTGTACAAGGCATTCAATACTATTCGAGTACCCGCGGCATGAGAAAGAATACTGAAAAATGTACGTTTGAAACACCACATTTTATAATCGAAGTCTTTTACATTCCTCTTTACATTCCTTTCCTTTTTATCTTGCTTGCAAAAATCTATTTTCCCTTGCATTCTATTTTCCCTTGCATTTTACTTGTACTTTTTATCAGATTTCTGCACTCAAACTCTTCTCAACCCCTTTTCTATTTACTTTCTACACTCAAACTCATTTCAAACCTCAACCTTTCTCAGTCGAACGTGTGTTCTTTATTTATATTAGCATTTATATCCAAACAATGCCAATAATTAGCATATGTCCTAGGATCAAACTGATCGATCTTGCGAGTAACCAAAAAATTACCCTTTTTGGAAGATCAACGGTTGTTTACCGATCAACACGTTAAACAATTTGGTAAACCCTGATGGTGAGATTTATATAGGTTTAACTAGGTTAACTGACGTAGCCCGTGAAAGGCCTATGCAGATCTATTTTATTTTGGTTGTATTATATGTATATTATGCGACACACAAATTTCTTATTTATTGCATCATATTTTCGAAATTATATGTTTCGAATCGATGATGAACATAACATAAAACAGTACAACAAACAAAAACTAAAAACAACTAAACATGAAAACCTAGGCACTACTGGATAATTTTGGACATTTCAACATCTTGATTATGTTATCGACGGATTTTTGGATCTCTGTATCCAACTCGATTGGACCTTTAGTTATCCTACAGCGAAATAATTTCCACATGACCTTCACATCTTCATCGATCTTCAACTCAATCAGGTTGAATTTCACTCTTTCATTTGTATCAATCCAATCTTCTCGAAACTCGATCTTCGTCACCCTTCTGTTACCGGAATCTGGTAGCAATGCATTCAACATTTCTTTTAAGGTGGTAAGGGATGTGTTGCCATCTGGAAGCTTGAATTCAACAACAGAGTTGTTTCTATTGTAATATACTTCTGCCTTAATCAGAAATTGAGGAAGAGACATTGTTTGAGATATTTTTCTTTGTAGCATATGCCCCTATTTATATAAATGGTGATGCATTATAGACTACATAAATTTATCGGTACAATCAGGATCCTCCAAAGATGTCGGTAAAATCTCGATCGTTAAAAAAACTTGAATAAATGAACTACCAGAATTTTCAATATAACTCAAATTTTCGGTACTGCCTAGTAAATTTGAAATTTCCAGAATATCGAAAATTTCAAATACACTACCGAAAATTTACATGAACCGAAAAATTTGTAGAAATATACCGAAAATTTTGCCTGTATCGAAAATTTTAAACTCTCTATTAGAAATTTTATCTGAAAATTATTTATAACTCAATAAAGATAATTTTAAAATAATTAAAGTTGAAGAGATGTCATGTTTAATTTGGAGAATCACATGCTTGACAAAATGATAATGGGAGTTCATGGAATATAACTACCTCAATTGCCGGATCAACCCCCTAACAAAATGATTATGGGAGTTCATGAAATGTAACTACCTCAATTGCCGGGTTAATTGGCATCAAGTTTATACAATTTTCATTGAAATTAAAATGTAAAAACCATTGTATAACAAGTGTCACATGCATGGTGAAAGGCGACCAACCCAAGATTGAATCAGCTAAAGATTTTATCCATCACTATTGATCAAAGTTGTCGTCATCTCAAAATCTCACTCAAAAGATGCTACTACCATCTTATCTTATCCATTAAGATATGCACATATGAGTATTGGGGGACCCTATGCAGATAGAGCTTTTTTTGGCATCATGATTCAATGAAATTCCACTAGAAAAAAAGAAAGACAATTGAACAGGTAAAGCTTATTTGATGATATTATCTCATATCCCTAGTAGTTGAAAGAATCATATATATCACTAATTCCAAAAGTGGTCAAAATGTTGTTGGGGTGGGGGACTTCAATTGAGTACATTTTTCATACCCAAAAAACTTGAGTTCATATATTTATAACAACCTTAAATCATTGTTTTTGTCACTTCTAGATCAACCAAACTCACCCTCTTTGTGAAAATTCACCCTCCTTAAATTCAAACCCTTTGAGTCCCTTTTCAAGATGACAACAAAGGATATGAAAGTTCAAATTTGTTCAAGAAATGAAGTCATGCAAGGTAGTGGAATGGAGTATAATGGATCACATTCACAAGGTGGTCTTTTGAGACAACCTAGTATGAACAAGAACAATTGTTTATGCTCTCCAACTACACACGCTGGTTCATTTAGGTGTAGACTACATCGTACACCTAATCTCATAAGGACAAAAAGTACGGAGTCGTCGTCGTCATCATCATCTACTCATGATCAGGCCTCTTTGATTCATGCTTCTGTAGTTGTTGATGCTAATGGTGATGCCAAAAAGAACTAGTAGATCTTTTATTCATGTTCATTATCATGATGCTGCTTTTGTCCACTCTTTACTTGTGTTACATTTAGTATTTTATCAACCATGTTCTCCTTTCTGTTGTTTTGATCACCTATTATAAGAACTTTTTCTGTCTCACAATTATCTGATTATGATTTGAGAATATGCAACATTGTCATGCATCAAAGTAACAACTCAAATATTTAAGAGTTTATATGAAAGGAACCATACACAAAACAAATAGTTCAACTACACCAACTACTTTTTAACTTGTATTATTATTATACATAAATAAAACTACTTAAAATCAAACATATCATATCAATGGAAGATCTTATTCTTTCTTGTAGCAGAATCAAATATGATCCGTATTATCCTATTACTGTTTTCTGAGTATGATTGATAAGGAAAACAATAAATACATGTAGAACCTTAAACTTATGTCACAACAACACTTCAAAAAGTTAACAATAGGTAAATACTAATTCCTTAAGGTCTATAGATACAAATAAATAAGACAAATGTAATCAGATACTATTAGAATTTTGAATTATATGTCACACACACATGAAAATACGAATTTTTTTGTCAAGACATAAGTGTTGCAGATTTGTAGACAAACACAGAACCATTGGCCCCATTGTTTGTCACTGACACCTAAGATTCCTATTCCTATATCAACTTTTCATAACAAATTATTACCAAAGAGATTTTTCTTCAAAATTATTGTTATTATTATTATTATAGGTTACATCAACAATGCACATACATTAAGAGATTCTTGGATTCTCCTAAAAAAAGACTAACATAACTCAAAACTCATTCACTTGGTAGACCATAATTTGCTAAGCATTTTTTTTGGTTGTGTAGGAAGAGCACAAATGGATTTAAATCTAGAGTTTCTTCCGATTCCACTGTCATTCACCAAACCGTTTTCAGCAAACTCGTCATGATCTTCGGCTAGTTTCATTCTTAGAGTTGTCGACCTTAGTTTCGGTGACTTGAAGGCAGAAACGCTCCAGTTATCCTCGCCTTGAATGCTTGTAGTAGTGCTTAACTGTGCTGTTGTGTGTTTTGATGGATCGATGCCGTGTGTTGTAAGCAATGCTTTGATATTGGTTTGCAATTCGGTTACTTTGCCACCTGATGCTGCAGCTCTAGCTTGTTCGAAGAAGAGAACTTGCACAACAACTCTTAAAGGGAGTAACTCGTTTTGTGCTGCATGCATGCATGCTTCCATTGATAGTTTTTTGCAGTCGAGAATTCTGCATAATCTTTTCCTTTCACTCTTGTTGAGTTCTGGATGAGCCTGAGTAGATGTTTCAAGTTAACCAACACATAAATTTCAGTAATATTTCTGATTGAACGGACACTGGCACAACACATAGTTTTTGCATATTTTATGTAAAAAAAGGAGTGACTTGAAAAAACTAAGAACATAAAGAATTTTAGTAATATTTTTTACCTTGAGATAAATGTCGATGGCTCTGTAGAGATCATCATGATCATGTCTTGCGAATTCTGGTATAATATCAGCAAGAGCAATGAATTTAGACAATGAAAAATTGACATCTCTTGCAACTTCTTGAAGGTACCTATCCACAAGCTTTGCCACTTTCAATTTTGAGCTGTGAGAACCTGAAGAGGATCTCCTACTCTCTTGTAATTCGAAGTTAATATTCTCGGCCGAACGAGACCGTCTCCTTTCAAAGGTCTTCAAGGATCTTGAAGGACTTGTTGGTGGACTTTGTCCTTGTAACATGAACTGTTCCAATATAGTCATCACCAACTCAACATCGTAGACAGTATCGTTTGTATAAGAAAGTGTAGGTATTAATAGATCATTCACTGTGGCTTCCTCCAATTGAAGTCCTACCCTTGTTGCCAATTCCATCTTTGAAGATGAAGAAGAATTGAGAATATTTGAAGCTTTCAACAGTTTCAAAAGAAAGCTACAAGAAACAGCGCCTTTTTCGGTTGGAAGCAAGCTTACTATTGACTCCAAGAGAAGCCTATGCTTTGAAGTTTTTTCGCTGGCGGAGTCTGATCCAGACTCAGCCTGCGAAACATTCTTCTTTCTATTTCCGTTCTTGGAAATGCTTGGTAACCATCTAGATGCATAAATTTTTAACGCATCGCCAATGAAATTTGAAGGAACCTTGCCACCAGATTTGATTGCTATCATTGCTCTCCAATAAAGATCTATGCTAAGTTCTGCTAAATCTTCAGCCCACCATCCTTTGCTTCCTGATTTGGTTCTCAAACTTTCTGTATCATTGCAAGATATATCATCTCTCACTCTTCTAGAATGACTATGCGACAAACTCACCTTCGTAGGGTGCCTCAAGACTTTCGACGCAATAATTTCAATGCATCTGCTTGTAATTCCCAAGTCTTCAGACCACAGATGCAACGCTTTTGTGGTCTGAAGACTCACTATGGTATCCTTCCATCCGTAGAGGATGCAAGAATTGAAGAAAACTTCAAGCTTGTGAATCAGGTTTCCTTTCTCAACTTCCTCAGTCATTTGGAGATACTCAGCAGCACATCTTGCGGCCACAATGTTGTAAGGACTTAGAGTGATGGTGATTCCATAGCAGAACTTAGCACACATCTCAAATGCTTCTACTCCACCAGGAAAATCAGGAAGTTGAACTATTTGGTGATGAGATGAATCTGGAGGTGATTCTGAGCATAATCTTTGCAGGCATAAGCATTTTGACAACAAAGGAAACTGAAAAACATCATAATGAACTTCAGATAAGTTGCCAAAGTAAAAACAAAAGTACTTTCCTTCTAGCAGATAAACACAAACACCAGATATATAATTGAAGAAGAAAAAATAAAAGAAAAATACTAAAATTGTTATATGAACTTGATGAGTTTCTTCTACTTTCAAAGAACATACCTTATGAAGAAGATATCTACTTCCCCTTACTTGAATTATGAGGTCACTAGAAACTTCAGAAGAGATTGACCTGCATAAAAACAAGATAAAATCATATTATAAAACTATAGAAGCAAAAAGAACATGCATCATCTAAGAAAAAAAGTTCAATTTTTTGTTGTTGTTAATGGCATATACCTTATGGACTCAGAAGTGTAGAAAGTATCTGGACGAGATCCAAGTTTCATGAACTTCATGGCTTTAAGTTTCTTACCCTCAAAATCATGTGTTAACCAAAAACACTACTTGCATAATTCAGTATGTTAAGTAAGAGAAAAAGAGAAAAGAAGTACATCCCAAATACCAAGATGAAAGAATATTTGTTTATTCGTTAGCAATGGATTTTTCTGACTAGCCAAGCTCAAGTGGACACTAGATGATGATATTGAACAGACAGAGTTCTCAGTGTATGTAAGGATTTCAAGAAAAGTTGAGAATTGTTAGAAATATAAAAGAGGAGCAAAGATAGAATTTCTTTGGTGGAGAGAAGAAGGTGTATAATTTCCAAGAGGAGAGGAAAGGAAAGGTAAAGCAAGAGGCTTTGTTGCTGTGGGAGCAAAATAATAATAATAATACTAGTTTAAATAGGTAGGATAGATGACACAAATGGTATGAAAGAAACATATAAGATTAAACACACCTAAGTTATGTCCTTTCAGTCAAATAGTTAATATTAAGTGATTTTGATATTCAAATAAAAATACCAAAGGCCAATATAGTGTTTCAGAATAGATTCTCTTAAAAATATTCTATTATTTTTTCTTCATATTTATTAATATTTTCATTTCTCTCACTCATATTGATAGAGCAATGTCTTATAACCAAAATAAGCATCTATAAAGTTTAGAGTTTTATAACGTGAAGATTTGTCACTCAGATCGATATTTATTAATAGATATGAATCTTTAGGATGTGACGTATTAAGATTAATAAAATCGATGTATATTTGTCATTTAATTGAAGATATCCGAACCAAGACCATGTTAGTCAGTCATGTTGGATATTCAATTTCATTTATAAAACGAACATTCTTTAACTTCTCAACCTCCTTGACAATCATTTTCCTTTACTCTTCGTCAACTTTGCGCTTTCTCTTTGCCACGGGTTTCACAATGAAATCTATGGAGAGACAGTAATAGACCAGTCTGTCGTTTATACATAGCATGTCCGAATGGGCCAAAGCGAATAAATCAATGTTTTTTCTGAGTAGGATGATCAACTATCATTTTTCACCTTGTTAGAACATAATTTGATTCTACAACCCTTAATTAGAGTTTTGATGATAACAAACACAAAGAACAAATATGCACTCTAAATTTGTGTTATTTTGTATGCAGAAGTTCTGACCAAAGAAGCATCAGAAGTTAAGCTATAGAAGCTTTCACGCTGAGGTAATCAGAATCTGCGCTGAAGAATGATGATCAGAACTTGCGCTGAAGTGAAGAAAACTCTGATTCTGAACAGAAGGTTCATAAACAATCAGATCCTCACATCTATAAGTCATCAATGTTCTGAAGCACTTGCAGCATGCAAGATTGTAAGATTCTGAAGCGTTACTATTCAATCAAGACAACATCACATGCAACGGCTTCATTCAGACAAGAATCTTCTCAATATGGAAACTGTTTAAATGTCCGTTATCACGCTTTATGTTGGACAGGATTCCTTTGCCTATATAAACAAGCTAAGAGAACAAATCATTTACGATTTTTGATCACGACTACAATACATCTCTAAACGTTGCAAGCTTACATATTCTTTTCTATGCTCTAAATTGTGTAAAATATCACAGTTATGATAACTGTTTTTGTAAAGAAAAACAACCATACACAAAATTATTTTATCTTGATTAAGCCAGTTTTTCCTTGAGATTAACCGGGTTGTGGTTGTACTCAAGAGGACTTTGACAATTGTCAAAGTAGTGATTTGTAATCAGTTTTTGATTAGTGGATTAAGTCCTCGTTGGAGAGAGGCGAAATCACCCCAGGATAAAAATATTGTGTCTTTGCGCATTTGATTTTAAGTTTTCAATTCAACCCCCCTTCTTGTGGTTTTCACTTCTTCAATTGGCATCAGAGTGCCTGGTTCTGAGTTAATACACTTAACCGTGTCAGTACAAAATCCAAGCTTTAGAAAAACACTATGATGGGACCAAGCCAAAACATCAGCAATGACTATCATGAAGACAATGACAGAATCAGTGGAAAACCACCAGTCTTTGATGGAGAAAATTTTGACTACTGGAAAGACAGAATTGAGAGCTTCTTTCTGGCCCATGATGTTGATCTATGGGACATGGTAATTGATGGATACACACATCCAGTGGATGAAAGTGGTCAAAAGATAGACATAAAAAGGATGTCTGACCAGCAAAAACGTGATTTCATAAACCATCATAAAGCCAGAACAATACTCCTCAGTGTTATCTCATACTCAGAATATGAGAAAATTTCAAACAAAGAGACAGCCAAAAACATGTTTGACTCTATGAGAATGACGCATGAAGGCAACATACAAGTCAAAGAAACCAAGGCCATTGCACTCATTCAAAAGCATAAAGAATTCAAGATGGAAGACAGTGAATCCATAAAAGCAATGTTCTCAAGATTCCAGATCCTTGTTGTTGGGATGATGGTTCTTGACAAAGGATATTCTACTGCTGATCACGTAAAGAAGATCATCATAAGTCTACCCAAGCAATAAAGGCCAATGGTCATAACACTTAAGCTAGCTAAAGATCTCAACAAGATATCTCTGGAGGAACTTGTCAGCTCCCTCAGAAGTCACGAGATAGATCTAGAAGAAGATGAGCCTCAAAAGCAAGGTAAGCCACTAACGTTAAAATCTAACAAAAAATCTGATTCTAAGGTTTTGCAGGCTATGGAAGAAACCTCTGATGAATCCTCATCAGAAGAAGATGAATTGTCTCTCCTCTCCAGAAGGGTGAATCAACTGTAGAAGCAGAGACAAATGAAATTCAGAAATCCTAGAAGATCAGAGAATCAAAATGAATCCTCCTCCAGATATAGGAAGTCTGAGTCTTCCTCTAGACATAGAAGATCTGAAGGTTCTTCAGGACACAGAAAGTCAAATAACAAGGACATCATCTGATATGAGTGCAATGAGCAAGGGCACTAAAAAAGTGATTGTCCAAGGCTTCAGAAGGAGAAGCCCAAAAATAAGTTCTTCAAGGAAAAGAAGAAAAGCCTCATGGCAACATGGGACGATTCATACACTTCTGATGCTAACTCGGAGTCAGATGATGAAAGAGAAAACATAGCTCTCATGGAAAACGTGTCAGAAGACAGTGAAGCTTCTGGTTCAGACTTAGAATCAGACACTGAAGAGGTATTTCCTGACTTCACTATTAATTTTTCTAAGGCTAAACTTGCAGAAAGTCTAAATGAAATTCTGAAAAGGTACCAACAAATCAGAGTCAAATTCAAGAACCTGAAAAGGGATCTTGTCTCTGACTCTGAAAAGACTGAGAGTCTCAGATTAGAAAATTCTGAGTTAAAAGAAAAGGTTTCAAAATTAGAAAATAATTTGCAAAACAATCAGAAGGAAATAGTCTCAGAGACTCCCAGTAGTGCTAATGAGATCATCAAAGAGTATGATCACAGCTTTCAGAAGTTTCTGGCTAAAAACATATATAGAAGCAAGATGGCTTCAATGATCTATGGAGTTAGCAGGAATGGCAGAAAAGGGATAAGATATCAAGGTAAGGTATCTACACCTAAGAAAGTCATGGACCTAGTCATAAAACGCACACCACTTAAACCACACTTCATATATATGCACACACATGACCTAAAATACACTAGTAATGATTACTCTGTCAAACCAAAATTCAACCAGAATTTTGGTAAAACTAACAAACCAGGCTCAAAAAGATATGGGTACCTAAGGACAAAATTATATATGTAGCAGATATCTTTAGCAGCAAGGCTAAAATACCAGTCATGGTACCTGGACTCTGGATGCTCTCGACACATGACAGGAAGAAAAAATATGTTCCAAAGCCTGGAACTTAAACCTGGAGGCTACGTGGGCTTTGGAGGCAACCAAAGAGGAAAGATCATTGGCTCTGGGACAGTAGGTAATAGAAATCTTCCCTCTATAAATAATGTGCTCTTAGTTGATGGATTAATGCATAACATGTTATCTATAAGTTAATTAAGTGATAACGACTATGATATAATCTTTAATCAAAATTCATGCAAAGCTGTTAGTCAAAAAGATGGAACTATCCTGTTTAATGGAAAGAGGAAAAACAATATTTATAAGATAAAACTTTCTGAACTAAAGAGTCAGAATGTAAAATGTCTTCTCTCTATTAACAATGAGCAATGGGTCTGGCACAGAAGATTGGGGCATGTTAGTATGAGAATAATATCTCAGATTAACAAACTCAATATGCTCAGAGGACTTCCTAATTTGAAGTTCAGCTCAGATGCTGTGTGAAGCATGTCAGAAAGGCAAATTTGCAAAACCTGCTTGTAAATCAAAAAATGTTGTTTCCACCTCTAAGCCATTAGAACTTCTGCACATAGACTTATTTGGACCAATAAAAACTGCGTCTGTCAGTGGCAAGAAGTATGGGTTAGTGATCGTAGATAACTATAGCAGATGGACATGGGTAAAGTTCTTAAGACACAAGGACGAGTCACACTCTGTGTTCGTTGCATTCTGTAACCAAGTTCAGAATGAAAAGGATCTTAGAATTGTCAAAGTCAGAAGTGATCATGGTGGAGAATTTGAAAATAAAAATTTTGAATCATTTTTTTATGAAAAAGGCATCTTGCATGACTTCTCTTGTCCTAGAACTCCCCAATAAAATGGAGTTGTAGAACGAAAGAACAGAACACTGCAAGAAATGGCCAGAACCATGATCAATGAGACTAACATTGCAAAGATCTTCTGGGCAGAAGCAATTAACACAACGTGTTACATTCAGAATTGAATCTCTATAAGATCTATTTTGGAAAAGACTCCATATGAACTATGGAAGAACAGAAAGCCCAACATTTCTTATTTCCATCCTTTTGGATGCACTTGTTTCATTCTGAATACTAAAAATTATTTGAACAATTTTGACTCTAAATCACAAAAGTGTATCATATACAGAGTATACAATACAGAAACACAGATTGTTGAAGAGTCAATCAGTGTTAGATTTGATGATAACCTTGACCCT